GCAGCCAGTCGATGTGTCTCTCTCACGTCGATGTTTCTCTCTCTCTTCCTCCCTCTCTCCTTCCCGCTCTATCTGAAGATAAATGCAAAAAAAAAAAATGTCCTCAGGTGAACAACAGGAATTTGACATTGGTTCAATCCTCACACCTTGCTCCAAGCTCACCATTTTATATGTACTTGTATGTGTGTGTGCGTGTGTGTGTAGTTGTATGCAGTTTTATCCCATGTATATTCATGTAACCACCACCACAATCAAGATACAGAACTTCTTTGGCAAGAGGTCAGAAGGTTATATTTCATCCCCAAATGCAGACATTACAACTCAAATTAAGATGAGAGGATTGAGGTGGAGGGATCTCCGCCTACACAAGTGAGGGGCATTTAGAGAATTAAAGTGAATAGCTCTCAGGAGCTAAAATCTTGGACTTTGTATTTGGCCTGAGCAACCAAGATTTAATGTTACCAGGAAAGATTTTGGTCAGGACATTACAGTGACCCTCCTGAATAGCTGGAGTTGGTATTTTAAAAGGAAGACCAGGTGAACCAGTTGAGTTTCGGGTTTGTAAATGTAGCCTACCAAATAAATAGGGTGTGGGTAGTGAGATAGTAACAGTTTCTTTAAGATCAGCTGAATAGGCTACAACATGGGCAGGTGTTTGAAAGGAAGCCTTATGGCCTATCGAAAAGTACAAAATTTTGCCAGCGACATGGCAGCAGTTGGCTATAACAGTGGTGTTTAAGAGGCCTTTTAAGTATGGTGTGTGTGTGCCAAAATAGAGCCAAGCAGCTGTTGTGTTGCCAGGTGGAGTCAGTCCATGGCCTGCGGTGCCCCAGGTCCAGGCTATTACCTAGCTACCCAAAGTAGGTGTAGCCAGGCTACCAAAAGCCAGAAGACCAAGCAATAGCATTTGTTCTGTGTGTTATAGCCTGAGGCAGAAGAGTATCCTTTACAGCCTGGAATCTGTGACAAAGCTGTGGCTTAGGCTAAGCAAATCCACATTATCAGGGTGCCAGGAAACTGGCAGATAGCTGAAGGCACATTCGATTGTGGGAGGATCATAACTCGCAATAGCTCAAGTCTTGGTTTGGCTACCGTCACAGTCAGGGTTGGGAGACCAAAAAGGATAGATGAAAGAGGAGAAACAAAAGAAATGTCTACTGTCCAGCCAGTGTGGCTCAGTGGTTGAGCATCAACCCATGCACCAAGAGGTCATCGGTTCGATTCCTGGTCAAGACACATGCCCAGGTTGTGGGCCCTATCCCCAGTGGGAGGCATGCAGGAGGCGGCCAATAGATGTTCTCTCTCATCACTGTTTCTATCTCTCTCCCTCTCCCTCCCTCTCTCTAAAATCAATAAAGGAAAAAACATTAAAAAAAAAAAAAAAGAAATGTCTACTTCAATATGACCGTTGTAGATGCTGAAATGTGGTGTCACTGCGGAGGGCAAGGAAAGGTTTGTGTTGTTGTTTTTTTCAGTGTATTTGATGTGGAGTAGAGGCCCCTGAGGGCCAGGAATTTAGTATAATGAGGTCCAATGGTAGGTGGGAGACCCATTTTATAAGATCATGTAATTTTATAATTTCTGTAAGTTTTCTTTATGTAACCCATTGCGGCATTCTGTAAGTCCAGCAGCCCGGGACTGAGGGAAGGTGGAACATCTATTGAATGCCTTGTTCTCAAGAGAGAGCTTTGCTCAATGTGGATAATAATGTCTGGAACTCTGAAAGGGTGTTTTTGAGAGGACTCATATGGAAGTTTGTCTTTTGAACACGCAGTTGCGTGTCTAGTGCAGTGGACAACTAAGATGTGCAGGTAGGTATCCACTGTCAAGATATAACAAGTGGCACTGGTAGAGGGGGCACAGTAGCCTGATTAAGTTGACTTGCTGGTGAAAACAGAAGTGAGGTCCCCCTGGTATGGCATCCTTCCATTGTATTACCAGTGACAAGTGGTCTCTATGTCAGTGGTTCTCAACCTTCCTAATGCCGCGACCATTTAATACAGTTCCTCGTGTTGTGGTGACCCTCAACCATAAAATTATTTTCGTTGCTACTTCATAAGTGTAATTTTGCTACTGTTATAAATCACCATCAGAAATATGTGTTTTCTGATGGTCTTAGGTGACCCCTGTGAAAGGGTCGTTCGACCCCTAAAGGGGTCACGACCCACAGGTTGAGAACCACTGCTGTTTTGTGGGTCCATTTTACCAAAAATAGATGAATAGGATCTAGAAGGTCATCTAACAGTTTTCACCTGAGTTTTTGAAATGTGTTCTAATCTATCAGCTTGAAAATTAAATTGGGCCTTAGTATTTCAAATTTTGCTATGAGCAAAGATATAAATGACCTTGATTAGTCTCTTTGGAGTACTGTGATTCACCCTAAAGGGTGCAGTCTTGAATGAAACTGTTGCTGCCATTATTGATGCACCAAAGAACTAAAATTGGCAATGGCACAGGAATCTGTGAAAAAGTGTCAGTCCTAATCATTTTTCTGTTTTATTGTCATCTGTGTTCTAGAGGTTATGTATAGCTAATGGATTAGTATGGTGAAAATAAAATGGTGTGTCTCTGGCAACTCTTCCCAGCTCCATGTTCAGTGACATCATATTGGCAGTTTGAAATTGGCCATGGTGGGAGTATTTACAGCAGGGAAATTGGAAAACAACACAAACCAGAATTTAACTTATATTACTGAAAGTCTAAACTTAAGAGTATGATGGAGAATAAGTGAATGCATATTAAATTTATAAGCACATGGTGTATATGTTCATTACATTGTACACAGCACACATACACATGCAAATGAGGAACAGAAATGAGCTATTTGTTAATGAAATCGGAAGTAGCCACAATTCATTTTTTTAAAATAGACAAAAGATATGAACAGACATTTTACTAAAGATACAGATGGCAAATAAACACATGAAGAAAAGTTCAACATCAAGAATCCTTAGGGAAATGCTATTAAACTACTGCTTGCTTATTAAAAGAATAAGCTCAAATGACTGCCCATTTCAAGCATTCGCAAGTATGCAGAAGAACCGGAACTCTCATACAATCCTGGTGGGTAAACAAAAGTGAACAACCATTACACATCACAATTTAGCAATTTCTTAAACATTCACCTATCCTATGACTCAGACATTACACTTTGAGTTAGTCACACAAGAGAAGTAAAGCATACTTGGTACATATAACGTATTACATACAAATATTCTAGCAGCTTTATTTGCAATAGTCAAAACTGGAAATAACCCAATGCCCATAAACAGATGAATGGATAAATAAATGGTCTATCACAAAAAAGATACTACTCAGCAGTAAAAAGAATGAACTCCTCATGTATCATTGAAGAATCTCAAAATAAAGAATCATGAATGAAGCCAGAAAAAAAATAAGCTTTTTATAAATCAAATCTTGTAAAATTCTAGAAAATACAAACTAATCTATTATAAAAGAAGGTAAATCAATGGTTGCCTGGAGGCCTGAGGAGGGGAAGGTAGATTATAAAATAGCATGAGGTACGTTTGAGGTGATGGACATTTCACTATTATAATGAAGTATCATGGGTTCGTATATATATCAAAATTTAACAAATTGTACATTTCAAATAGGTGCAGTATATTGCATGTCAACTATACCTGAATAAAGCTTTTTGAACTGGTTCAAAAGACAAATCTAAATCTTTCACTTTCCCGATGACGTGAAGACACAGCCTTGCCTCAGTGGTAGCAAATATCGATGTGTATTTCCAACAAGTCAACAGAAATGCTGGGTAGGTCACAGAGACACATCACTGGACTAAGGGACTGCATTTAAATCTATGCTTGTTTTTCTTTCTGTGTAGGAATGGCCTTTCAGTGAATATCCCAGAAAGGCTACAGGAATCCAAAAACCAATACCTTCTTTTCTTTGAAAATGACCTCAGCTACAAAAGACATACATGCCTGGAGGTCCTGAGAATTTCTGTGCACAATGACCTTTCACAGTCACAGTGAGTCACTGGGACATTTTTGATGCAATTTTAGCAGGGGGCACATTGCACCTACTTTGCTGCAGTCACCTCCACTCCAGCGCCATTGTGCCAATTATGGTTCTCCCACGGTCTTGTAGTCTTATGACACTAGCCTAGTGAATTCTGGGCAATCAGGACACATGGATCTTTTGTAGGACCTGGGGTAGAAATTCCCCTCAACACTACTGAGCATTATGTGGTATCCACTGTGAATGAGAAAAACAATTTGTGATGCTCCCAGAAGCACGTGCGTTTGTCACAACTCCCTGGTTCTTCAGGGTATTCCCCAAACCCACCAAAAACCCTACATCCAGTCCACAAATGAGGACCACAATGCCTTGAAGTCTTTCCAAGAAGACCTTGGGCAACAATGTACAGAAGCACACAGAGCTTTGGACCCCCACGAAAGCTCTTTTACTCCTTAATTCTGGCAGAGCCAAATTGTTTCAAATAATCTCACATGGTGAATACAACCCCAAGATCAAAGGTGGCTCAAACAATGCCTTTATTCTTGCAAGATCCATGGCAATATGTGGCAGGGAGTTCCCAGGCTGGTGACTTAGAAGCTGGGAAAATCCAAAATAAGTGTCACATGAAATTCCATGTCCTTACAAATATAGTCCTCTTGACAAGTCACCAGCAGAACTCAGATCAGGTCCAGTAGGCCAAAACCGAGTGAGGTCCAAGCTCTAACTTGTAAGAAAGAAGGGAATGAGGACCTCAGAAGGGCTAAGACTACACAGGAATTCCTCCAGCAAATGGGGACTGCACAGAGGTCAGCTTTTATGAGCTGGTTAAGGTGGTGACTGACATACACTGTGGACCTGCCAGGTGGTAAAGGTGAGATGAATTCTACCATAGAAACTGGCAGTGACATATATCTAGCAAGAACCTTGGGCAGGTTAGAAAGTATAACACAGCTCCTTAAAGATTCCCATACCTGGAACCTAAGAAGAATATCTCCATTGTAGATTTTCCAATGTATAGGCTTTAATTCAGGTGAATGGTTCCCTCACAAGTTCTCTCCTCCAGTGTAATTATACTAAAAGGAAATTGCACATCTCCTGTACATCTAAGTTCTTTCTCCAGTGTGAAGTCTCTGGTGCTGAATGAGGTCAGATTTGCAACTAAAAGATTTGCCACATTCAATGCACTCATAAGGCTTTTTTCCAGTGTGAACTCTCCGGTGTTGAATGAGGCTCGAGCTTTGGCTAAAGGATTTGCCACATTCCCCACATTCATAAGGCCTTTCTCCAGTGTGAACTCTCAGGTGTTTAACGAGGTTAGATTTGCAGCTAAAGGATTTCCCACATTCACTGCATTCAATAGGCCTTTCTCCAGTGTGAACTCTCCAGTGGTTTTTGAGGTTGGAGCTATGGCTAAAAGATTTTCCACATTCCCCACACTCATGAGGCCTTTCTCCCGTGTGGACTTTCCGATGTGAACTGAAGCTAGAGCTTTGCTTGAAGGATTTCCCGCATTTACTGCACTCATAAGGCCTTTCTCCAGTGTGTAGTCTCTTGTGGTGAATGAGGCTAGAGCTTCGGCTAAAGAATTTCCCACATTCACCACACTGATGAGGTCTTTCTCCGGTGTGAACTCTCCGGTGATTAATAAGGCTGAAGTTTTGGCTAAAGGATTTCCCACATTCACCACACTGATAAGGCCTTTCTCCAGTGTGAATTCTCTGATGTTGAATGAGATTGGACCTTTGGCTAAAAGATTTTCCACATTCCCTGCACTCATAGGGCTTTTCTCCAGTGTGAACTTTCCTATGGCTATTGAGGCTGTAGCTTTGACTAAAGGATTTACCACATTCATTGCACTCATAAGGCCTTTCTCCAGTGTGAACTCTCTGATGTATAATGAAGCTGGAGTAATAGGTAAAGAATTTTCCACATTCACTGCATTCAAAAGGCCTTTCTCCGGTGTGAACCTTCTGGTGCTGAATGAGGTTACATCTTCGGGTACAGGCTTTTCCACATTTGCTACACGCATAAAGCCCTTCTCGAGTGAGGACTCTCTGGCCCTCAGCAAGTGTGTCTGTGCAGTTAAAGGCTTTCTTGCATTCTCTCCAGTTGTGAAGACTTTTTCCACTGTAAAAAATGGCCTCACACTCATTCCTATTGTTTAGCTTCTCTCCAGTGTGAGTGACCTGTTGATGGAGAAATCGCAGGCTAGCTAAAAAATCCTTCCCAATCTCCCCACAGGTAAAGGGCTTCCCTGATGCAAGGACTGTGCAGCTCTCTGTAAGTGAGGCTCTGTCCACAGAACTTCTGAAGGGAATCTCTCTAATGTGCTGCTCTGGGTGCTGCTGAAGGTTAGCCGTCAAGAACAGTTTCTCACATGTGTATGTTTTCTGCCCATGATGTGTTCCCTGATGCTCAACCAAGTGCAACATGTCTGTCAAGATTGGGCCACACATCTCAAAGGGCTGGGCCTTCTGAGGAGGCAAACCTGCCTTAAGAGTTCTGATCTGTGATGCTCCTTCTAAAAAAATGCCCTGTTCAGAAGGTGCATCATCACCTTCTGCTCCACTCCAAGAACCTGAAAGCAAAGAAGTGATGGTGAAGTACATGCTGACTTCATTGGGAAGGGGCAAAACCATCATATATGTACATCTGACACATTAAAGAACCAGTCCATGGTACTGTTTTCAGGAACAGGGAGTTGGGATCAGATGGAAGTAGCTGCTATGCCCTACTGGGTCCCTAGTCACAAAATTCAGCAGGCCTTATCAGTCACAGGACATATGGAAAGGGTGTGTGGCCCAGGGATGAAAGGCAGGTTCTACAAGTCATCCTTCTATCCATGGCAGTTAGTAGGATTCTATCTGCTGGTGACATGTGTTGCTGTGTGGAAGTCTTTGTCTGGGCCCAGGACAACCTGAATAGAACAAAGTAACTGGTATTTAAGGATTATTAAAATGTATGTGTACACTTTAGGATACAAAAACGCTGGAAAGCACCACGAAGGGAATAATGTGAGGATTGAGTGAAATAAGTTCAGAGAGTGGGAATTAACTCAGGCTGGACTGAGAATAAAAATGACTAAGAAATTACAGTCAGTAGAGTCAAGATTGGACAAGGGAAGGTAGAAGTAAAATGGCCACTAATAATAAACTGGCACCAAAATGTAAGTCAAACATGATTAGTTCCTGGTATGATATGAATAAAGCTTCGATGTCCTGTCTTCCAATTGCCATTCGCCTGGGTCAGGCCCCCTCTGAGACTGAAGTCACGTCCATGCTGTGAAGCACAGAGGACTCCTCCCTTAGCCCCAGCTGAACAACTGCATGGGACCTGGAAGATCTGAACCCTAAGGGAAAGACAGGACAGATCAGTGGCCAATACTGGCCCAGAATAACAGCACACAACAAACCACAGTAAAGATATTTAAATACTACAAAAAGTTCTTCTGGGCAGTTAGAGGGAAGATGGCACAGTAGTAAGCACCAGAAAAGTCTCCCTACTCAGACCACTGCACGGACAGACTCAATCTGACCATAACTATTTTGCAACTCTAGAGCCTACAGAAGGCTGGTAACATGCTAAATTGATTTAATAGCGGTCAATTTCAGCTTTCAGCATGGTATCACTTATCCATCCCTCAGCTTGCCCAATTCCCCACTCTCAGCCCGGGGACAGGCAGCCATGCACATATAACTGGAACAGCTTGCACAGGCCAGGATCCTTGTCCTCAGGGATTGGTGTTCCAACTTCTGCTTTTGATGGTGGAAGTACAACAGAAAGGTGAGCAGCCATTGTTGCAAAGCCTTTACCTCATTGGCTGAAGTGACTGTAGGAGATTAAAGGGTAGGCATCACCCTGGCTGGTTTGGCTCAGCAGTTAGTGTTGGCCCAAAGACCAAAAAGTTGCAGGTTTGATTCCCGGTCAAGGGCACATACCTCAGTTGCAGGTTCGATACCTGGCCCTGGTCAGAGTGGTGCAGGAGGTCACCAATCGATGTGTCTCTTACATCAATGTCTCTCTCTCTTTCCCTTCCTCCCTGTCACTCTATCTAAAAAACTCAGTGGAGCCTGACTGGTGTGGTTCAGTGGATTGAGCATTGTTCCATGGACTGAAAGGTCCCGGATCAATTCCTGGTCCAATTCCCAGTCAGGGCACATGCCTGGGTTGTGGATTCAATCCCTAGTAGGGGGCATGCAGGAAGTAGCACAATCGTTGTATCTCTCTCACATCAGTGTTTCTATCACCTCTCCCTTCCTCTAAAAAAGAAATCAGCCCTGGCCGGTTTGGCTCAGCGGTTGGAGCGTCGGCCTGTGGACCAGAGAGTCCTGGGTTCAGTTCCCACTAAGGGCATGTATCAAAAAAAAAAAAGAATTTATTTAGCCCTGGCCGGTTTGGCTCAGCGGTTAGAGTGTTGGCCTGTGGTCCCGAGAGACCCGGGTTCAGTTCCCGCTAGGGGCATGTACCTCGGTTGCAGTTTGTCCCCGGCTCTGGTCAGTCGTGCGGGTGGCAGCCACATCGATGTTTCTCTCTCTCTCTTTCTCTCTGGTTCTCTCTCTCCCTCCCACTCTACCTGAACAAAAGATGGAAAAATGTCCTCGGGTGAGGATTAAAAAAAAAAAATTTAAAAAAGAAATCAATAAAAACATTTTAAAAATCAATGGAAAAAATATCTTCAGGTGAGGATTAAAAAAAAAAAAGGACAAGCATATATTCCTTCCACCCTCTTTTTCATTCCTTTTTCTCTTATTCCCCCATTGGAAGGCAGAATTTAAAGGACCAGGACATTCTAAATCAATCACATATATGGGGAAATTTAGAAAATAACCACGCATGCCAAGTGAAAAGCATAAGCTCAGAAAAAATAATTAAAAGACCTTAAGTTTACACCTCAAACTGATCTCTAGCACAAGGATAACCTACAACCACTGAAAAAAACAAACAGCCCTGGCTGGGTTGGCTCAGAGGTTAGAGTGTCAGCCTGCAGACTGAAGGGTCATGGGTTCAATTTCCAGTCAAGGGCACATACCTGTGTTTGCAGGTTCAATCCCTGGCCCCAGTAGGAAACATTCGAGAGGCAACCAACTGACGCATCTCTCACATCAATGTTTCTCTCTCTCTCTCTCTCTCTCTCTCTCTCTCTCTCTCTCCCCCTCCCTCCTTCCCTCCCTCCTTCCCACTCTATCTAAAAATCAATGGACATATATCCTCCGGTGAGGATTAAAAAAAACAAACATTGCCCGGCCTGTGTGGCTCAGTGGATTAAGCATCATCCCATGAACTGAGAGGTCCCGGTCAGGGCACACACCCTAGCTGCTCTACTCTTGTGGGGGACGTGCAGGAGGCAGCCAATCGAAGTATCTCTCTCACACTGATGTTTCTATCTCTGACTCTCTTCCTCTCTCTGAAAAAAAATATAAATGAAAACATATTAAAAAGACAAAAACATATGACCTGGCCAGTTTGGCTCAGCAGTTAGAGTGTCAGCCCATGGACCAAAGAATCATGGGTTTGATTCCGGTCAAGGGCACATACCTCAGTTGTGGTTTGGTCCCCGGCCCTGATCAGGGTCATATAGGAGGCAACCAATCAGTGTGTCTCTCTCACATCAATGTTTCTCTCTCTCTCTCTCTTTACCATTCCCTCCCACTCTATCTGAAAATAAATGGAAAAATATCCTCGAGTTAGGATTTTAAAAAACACCATAAACAACAATTCTCCCCACTCCCCACCCCTGCAAAATCCTAGGGAGAAGGGAGATCAGATTTCTTTTTCATTTGTTTGTTTTTTGTTAATCCTCATCTGAGGATATTTTTCCATTAAATTGTAAATAGTGTGGAAGGGATGGAGGGAGGGAGAGAGGGAGAGACAAACATCAATGTGAGAGAGACACAACATTTGGTTGCTTCCCATAAGACCCAGACTGGGTCTGGGGATCGAACCTGCAACCCAGGTACATGCCCTTAACCAGGAATTGAACCCATGACCCTTATGTTCTTGGGCCGATGCTCTAACTACTGAGTAAAACCGGCCAGGGCAAGATCAGATTTTTTGAGTTGCCACATCATAAGACACAAATGTCCAGTTTTAAACAAAAAAAAATCAAAGAACATACAAAACAACAGGAAAGTATGGCCCAATTTAGGGGAATAAAAAACAAATCAAGTAAGAAAGAAAAGATAAAAAAATAATAATTAAAAAAAACACAACAGTGGATAGAGCATTGGCCTGCAGTCCAGAGAGACCCGAGTTCGGTTCCTGCTAAGAGCACGTACCTCGGTTGCAGTTTGTCCCTGGCCCTGGTTGGGGTTGTGTGGGTGGCGGCCAGTCGATGTGGCTCTCTCTCATCTCTGTTTCTCTCTCCCTCTCGCTCTATCTGAAGATGAATGCAAAAAAAAAAAAAAAGAACCACAACAGAAACTGACCTTGAGAAAGACCAGATGTTGTACTTCTTAGACAACATCTAAAAGATGCTCAAAGAATTAAAAGAAAATGTAGACAAAGTCAAGAAAATGTTGAGTGAACAAAATGGAAATATCAATAAGGAGACAGGAAACAAAAGAATCCAGAAAAAATTTTGGAGCTAAAATGTACAATAACTAAAGGAAAAAAATCACTAGAAGAATTCAAAAGCAGGTTTGAGCAAGTTAGAAAAAACAGTAAACTTGAAAATATCAAATATAAGGAACAGAAAAATACGTTACGCAAAAGTGAAAAGAGCATAAGAACCTGTAGGATACCATAAGGTAACCCAACATATGCAGTGTGGGAGTCCAGAAGAAGAGAGAGACAAAAGGGCAGAGAGCTCATTTGAAGTAATTATTGCTGAAAACTTGCCAAAATAGGGTCTATGGATGCATGATTGTTATAGTTGCACAACAATGAGAATGTACTAAATGCCACTTAGAGATGGTATGTTTTAAAAATTCTGTATTTCACTTCTTTGGTTCCAAAATTTTATTGCTATGATTTTAAGAAGCTGGCCTGCAAGAAGCAGTTGGCATCCATTAATTCCCCTTCTAAATAACGTAAAAAATGTACAAACAACTAAAAAGAGTCTGGGGGAATAAAGAGAGCCCAGAAATAAACTCTTGCATAGATGGTCAAATATTTTCAACAAGAAGGCCAAGACCATTCAACGGTGAAAGGAGAGAGTTTTAAAGACATGATACTGGGAAACTGGATATTCACATGTGTAAGGATGAAGTCGGACTCTTACTTAACATCATACACAGAAATTAACTCCAAATGGATCAAAAATCTAAACTTAAGAGCTACAGCTATAAAATTCTTTTATTTTTATTTATTTTTAAAATGTATTTTATTTTTTTCCATCACCATTTATCCTTATACTCTTTTCCACCTCCACAATCACCACACTGTTGTCTGTGTCCATGAGTTCATTTTTTTTTCTTTTTGCTCAATCCTGCTACCTCCCCAACCCCCCTATTCCCACACCAGAGCTGTCTGCCTGCTCACAATCTATGAGTCTGTCTGTATTTTGCTTGTTACTTCAGTTTTTTCATTGAATTCCACATATGAGTAAAATCATATGGCACTTGTCTTTCTCTGACTGGCTTACTTCACTTAGCATAATGTTCTCCAGGTCCATCCATGCTGCTGCAAAGGGTAAAATTTTCTTTCCTTTTACAGCCGAGTAGTATTCCATTGTGTAAATGTACCACAGCTGTTTTATCCACTCATCTACTGATGGACAATTGGGCTGCTTCCATATCTTGACTATTGTAAATAACGCTGCAATGAACATAGGGATGCATATATTCTTTTGAATTAGTGTTTCAGGTTTCTTCAGATAAATTCCAATGCAACTAAAACATTCTTAAAAGAAAACAGAGGAAAAGCTTCATAACATTGTTTTCGGCAATGATTCCTTGGATGTGACATCAAAGGCACAAGCAACATAAGAGAAATAGACAAATTGGACCATCAAAATTGAAAACTTTTGTACATCAAAGGACATTATGAAAACAGTAAAAAGGCAACCCACAGGAGAAAATATTTGAAAATCACTTTCTGATAATGGATTAATATCGAGAACACATAAAGAACTTCTAAAACTCAAAACAAAAAAACAAACCTGATTCAAAAATGGGCAAAAGACTAGCTATTTCTCTAAGGAAGATATATAAATGGCCAATAAGAACATGAAAGATGCTCAGCATCACTACTTATTAGGGAAATGTAAGTCAAAACCATAATGAGATACAACTTAATCGTTAGGATGGCTACTATAAAAAAAAAATAACACAAAAACAGACAAACAGAAAACAAGCATTTCCAAGGACAGAGAAATTAGAACCTTTATGCACTGCTGGTGGGAATATACTGTATGGAAATATAGATATGAAAAACAATATGGCAGTTCCACAAAGAATTATCATGATACAGTCAATTCCAGTTCCAGATGAGTAGGCAAGACAACTGAAGCAGGGACACTAAAGATATTTGTACACCCATATCCATATCAGCATTATTCACAAAAGCCAAGTATCCATCAATGGATGAATGAATAAACAAAATGTGGTACATACACACAACAGAATATTATTCAGTCTTACAAAAGGACATTCTGACACATGCTATACAACACATATGAACCTTTAAGATATTATGCTAAGTAAATAAACCAGACACAGAAAGATAATCAGCATATGATTCTATGCATACAAGATACTTTGAGCAGTCAAGTTCACAGATATAGAAAGTAGAATGGTAGTTGCTAGTAAATGGGGGAGGTACTGTTTAATGTATAGTTTCAGTTTGCAAGATGAAGTTCTGTGGATTCATGATTGTGATGATTTCACAAAAATGAGAATGTACTAAAAGCCACTTAGAAATAGTATTTTTGTTATGTATATTTTACCACAAATTAAAAAAAAAAAAAAGAACCTTGGCCCTGGCTGGTGTGGCTCAATGGTCAGAGCATTGGCTGGCACACGAAAGGGTCGAGAGTTTGATTCCTTGTCAAGAATGCCTGCCTGGGTTGCTGGTTCGATCCCTGGCCCTGGTCTGGGCGCGTGTGGGAGGCAACCAATCGATGTTTCTCTTGCTCTCTTTCTCTCCCCACTCTCTCCCTCCTTTCCACTCTCTAAAAATCAATGGGAAAAATACCCTTGGGTAAGGATTAACAACAACAATGACAAAGAGCCTTAGAGGAGGATCTTGCAATAACAGTCTATGAAAGTAGTAACCATGTAAGTGACTACAATTCAGGGCACAGTGAGGCACAAATAAATGTCAGGTACAGGAAATGTCAGATGCTAGGGTTCCATGGATCAAGACAGTCACTCAGCAAGGGAGAGGACAAGACAGGTAGGACCCATTAGGCTGACCTCAAGACTACTGCCTGAATCCTTTCTTGTGAGGCTTTGGGGAAGCAGGCACTGAGGTGGTAAAGGAAAAGAAGTACACATGCACTCAGCCTAGCCCCAGTAACCACTGCCTATACCAGGAAACTGGGGAAGGAAGCGGTATCCTTGGTTCAGATGTGAGAAAGACAGCTGCCCCTGGGGAAAAGAGAAAGGTGGAACCTTACTCAGGGCACCAGGGTGGATGTGAGTCTCACCCAGAGAGGATGTCAGTGCCAAGTTCTCCAGCATTACATCATGGTACAGGCGTTTCTGAGCCTCATCAAGGAGCTCCCATTCTTCCCAGGAGAAATATAAGGCAATGTCGTCAAAGGTCACACATCCCTGTCAAGACAGAGACAGATGAAACCACAAACTACTACTTACTCTTGAAGACCCACAACCCATCTCCCTACACATCTACCCCATGTCCATCCTCCTTCCAAGATCCCCAAATCACAGGAGATACTAGACCCTGGTGCCATTGGTGTCTTCCCTTTCCTCATATTCCCATTAATCACTATGTTCACTGTTTTCCACTTTGTAAGGGATGGAGCCTGTGAGGATCTAGGTAAGATCATCCCCCTCCTCTGATCCAGACCTCTCATTGGCTCCAGAATATATGCCTAACTTCTAGGGCAGTCATTCCAAACCTGACCTCCTCCTCCTTTTGTTTTCACAAGCAGTTCCCCATACTGTTACCTGTTTTTGTGATAAGCGTCCACATCTCTTTCCATAGATGGCTGATATGGGAACACCCTCCATATAACCTCTGGCCTACACTTAAGACCCTGAGTTTGGTTGGGGGTTCTCCCAGATCCCCAAACCAAGGGCTGGGAGAATGGCAGGTGAAGAGTCTCATGACACCACGAATCCAGAGAAAATGTGGATTGGGACCAATGAGGGTCTGGGCCACCTCCACTTACCTGTGTAGGTTCCCAAAGCACTTCTGCAGCCATGGAAACCTGTGGGAAGAGTCAGATCTTAGTGGGATGGAAGGGTTCCAGAGGCTCACGCCTTCCATGTACCTCTCTCCGGGGGAACCGGAACCAGGTGGCCTGGGGCAAATGTCAAACCTCTGCGCTGCCTCTCACCAGTCGTGTGTCCTTGGAAAAAGCCTAAACCTCCCTCTGCCTCAGTGTCCTCATCACCCCTACAGTCTGTTCTTGTACTGAGCAGACTTCGGGGGATTTTCCAAACTGTGTTATATTGAGATGGTGTCTCTTTCCCTCAACCTTCTCCACGACGCCCAGGGCCCTGGGAAGGAAGGTACAACTCCTCGGGCTGCCGTTGCAGGTGCGACTCTACCCAAACTTTGTTTCCTGCAGAAGGAAGAAGACCCCCAGGTTCCTGGATCATCTCGGCTCAGCTGCCCCTTCCACGTGTTGACGCGGCGGCCCCTCAGCCGGTCCCCCTCTCCCAACCCCATCACCCTGCGTGTCACCCACGAGCGCCTCAGGGTCCGCACGACGGGCTGCAGGGCATGACGGGCGCCCACACCCGGGCTGCAGGGCTCGGGGCGGGGGACGGGGAGGCGGGAGGCCCGGGGGACGCGCTCTCACCTCGGCCGGGCGCCTCAGGGCCGAGGGGAGTGACACCGAGCTACCCGGGCGGGGACCCCGGCACAGACGTCCCAAGGCCGGACTCGCAGGCAGCGATGCCTCGACCCTAAACCAGCCCCTGTGCAGCGGGCACAGAGCCTCGTCTAACGCTTTGTCTCTCCGTCACCTCGGCCCGGACCTGTCGGCGCCCAAGCCGGAGCTTTCAGCCTGGGGCACCAACAGAACAGGCGCTAAAATGACCGCCACAAACGGGCCGGAAGTCCCGCCCCAACGCGATTCGCCGGCATGGAAACTCCCTCTTTCTGGTGTTTCATTCGATTGACGCCGCTGCCGCTCAACGCCAGGCTTTCTGGGAAATGTAGTTCGCACAGCTGCTCAGCGCTGGACGCCCCGCGCCAGACTCTCCCATCGAAAGGGTCCAGGAGCGCGTTGAGTGCTCTGGGAAACGACCTCACATAGTTGTAGGACCCGAGAGCGGCCTCGCTCCTCCAAAGGGCAGCAGGACGATTTCTGGGGAGCTGTGACTGGCTACCACCCCTGAAATGTTCAGACGTTATTTCAGACTCAATGACAGCCACTGGTAGCTGGAAGCAAATAAACATTGTCTTATTCCTCTTTAAGCTGTGTGTGCCGCGTGACGTGTTAACGTCATCGCGGATAATAGATTAACCAGTATCCCTGATGGGTACACATTTTTCTCAAGGTAATAGGTAACTTGACTTAAGGAATAAATTATATATTTTTCTTTTTTATTGATTTTATTGGGGTGACGTTGGCTAATAAAAGTATATAGGTCACAGGTGTACAATTCTACAATACATCTGTAAATTGCATTATGTATTCACCACCCCAAGTCAAGTCTCCTCCCATCACCATTTATCCCCGCTTTACTATCCCCCTCTGCTACTTCCCCTCAACTCCCTTTCTCTCTAGTAATCTGTCTGGACCGCTGAGCCAAACCGGCCAGGGCTTGTTAGTTTATTTTGCCCAGGTTCAGGGGCGCAGGTGTGGCTGAATGAGGCTAGAGTGGTCGCCCACGTGGGTCTGAAGCTCTGGGAGCGGCTGCAATGACATCTTCAGCCTCTGGGGGCACCTGAGCGTCCCTGGCGGTTGCTGTTTCCACCCGGAATCACCCGCGGAAGGACGAGCAGGTGCCTCACAGCGCAAGAGAGAAACGCGGGGCCGAGGGGGGTGGGTCTCAGGGCTGTGCGACCTGAGGATCGGTAGGTAATTCGCCCCCGTCAGGACACGTGGGCGGCGGGACCACGTTACCCATCAGACGCTGCGCGGGGCTCAGGGCTCAGGAGAGCGGCACTTCTGTGCGTCTCCATCGGCGGCACTTGGGGCGTCCAACTGCTTTGGTCCTTTTGTTTGTTTTTCGGTGTTTTTTTTGTTTGTTGGTTGGTTTTTTATCCTCACCCGAGGACATTTTTCCATTTTTTGTTCAGGTAGAGTGGGAGGGAATGAGAGGAAGAGAGAGAGAGAGAAACATCGATGTGAACCCTTTCACATCGAGTGGCTGCCACCCGCACGACCAACCAGGGCTGGGGACAAACTGCAGCCAAGGTACATGCCCTTAGCGGGAACCGAAACCGGGTCTCTCTGGACCGCAGGCCGATGCTCTAACCGCTGAGCCAAACCGGCCAGGGCTCGGTGTTTTGTTTTGATGTCGCCTAGCGAGCCCTGGGTCGGAAACTGGAGAACGAGACCGAGGAGCCCGCGCCAGGCGGGGGACAGGGACCGCGGTGCCCTCTCTTTTATTTGCAAAATGGACTTTCTCGCCCAGGGTGTGGCTCAGTGGTTGAGTATCAACCCAGTCAACCCATGTACCAAGAGGATGCTGGTTCATTCCTGGTCAGGACACGTGCCCAGGTTGTGGGCCTCATTCCTAGTGAGGGACATGCAGGAGGTGGCCAATCGATGTTCTCTATCATTTCTCTATCATCGCTGTTTCTATTTCACTCCCTTCCTCTCTCTCTCTCAAATCAATAAAGAAAATATTACATAAATAAATTGAATTGACTTTCTCAGATTAGAATGCAGTACAGTCGTCCCTCGCAACTTCGTGCTTTGACTTTCGGGGCTTCACTCTATCGCGGTTTTTTCAAATATATTCGTTTAAAAGATCGAGACAGTGAAAATGATACAGCGGTTGTCTGAGTCAATTACACACTCCTGTATTACAATTACAATTACTGTACGTATGGACTGTAGGCCTATGTATTCGAGCACTCCAGGAATCCTTCAACACCAGGTGCAACAGCTAGAGTCTGGAACGGATTAACTGGGATAAACGAGGGACTGCGTGTAGAAATTTGGGGGATCTGAGTTAGGTGTTATCCTGAGATCACTCTGCACCAGGGCAAGGCCAAGAGGGAAGAGCTCAGCTTAGCTCTTATGACTGCACCATGATCACCTGTATCTCACAGTTTTCCTCTTCCCACAGGTTCCCAAGGTAGCAGAAGAGATTATGGCTCTACACAGAAAAGTGGAAAGTATCCCAGGACCTCACTGGCTCTCATTCCTGCCCCCACAGTCTCAGCACACAGATATAGGCACTTAGGAGGTAGTGGTATCCTATAATTCTTTGTCCTTAGATCTAGGGTCCTGAATCAGAGTCAGAAGTTAAAGGGTGTTCTCATTTCTGCAGGCAGTGAGATGATTAAAAGTGTCCTGAGCATAGGGAGTGTCATATCCAAGTGGTTGGAGATGAGAATGAGTCAGGAGTATTAATGAAACTGCAGGTCTCAATTATATTTATCTGTACGGGTAATAGGGGCAGGAGTGAGTAACCCAATAGTTCTTTGAGAGGGTGGGCCTGTATTGAGGGTGATAAAAGCCGTGGAATATTTGTTTTTTGTTTGTTTTTGTGGTACGTGCCCCTAGCGGGAACCAAACCTGGGACTCTCTGGTCCGCAGGCCGACGCTCAACCACTAAGCCAAACTGGCCAGGGCTGTTTTGTTTTGTTTTAAGCTGTGAAGTATTTGGAGCAGAAGATAGAAGTGATCCTACTCGGGCCTACACAGGCTTCCTTTGCCTAGGGAGTGGGGAAGAGATGGTAGGATGAGGGCAGGGGCAACTGCAACTGTCCAGGTGTTTGTTTATAATGGCTGGACCACAGCCCTATTCAAGGTAGAATAGGTTAGTTCCTCCATCTGTGGTGTTTGTAGGGTCTACTAGATTATCTGTTTTGGAATGTGAGAGGAAGAAAAGAATCAGGAATGATCTCTTTTGGTCTTAGCATCGAGCATATGAAAAAATGCTCTCAACTGAGAATGGAAAGCAGTGGTAGGATTAATTTTCTGAGGTAATATCAGGAGTTAGTTTTGGGCCATGTTGAGTCAGGGATGTTTCAGATCCCCTTGGAGGAGGGGACAAATGGGCAGCGAGAAATGCAAATCTGCAGTTCAGGGGAAGGGTTCAGATTGGAGACCCCCATAAGCTTGTGGGCCACATGTCGACCAGTTCACATCTCGGAAGAGTACTCTTCAGGTCTTGTTGGGCCAAGAGTGATGTGAAAATGGGGAGGGAGAATGACAAATGTGTCTAGTGTCCTTGTAGGCAGGGTTTAAGGCAGAAAGGAAAGCCCACATTTGGATGCACCTGGAAGAGATGATCTGGAGGACCCTAAGGAAATTGGTTGCCAGGAGAGGGATGGGACCTTGTTGGCCAAGCTCACAACTTAGGTGTCTTCTGTCTTTCTATATGCCCCTCTGCTTGTTGCTGAGGGCTGAAAACACAGTGATCCAGGCACATGAGAGGCTGTTGCAGTGACATGAGAGCCTGCCTGGTATTTCCTCTGATTGGGGGGCTGGGGACTAGTGGGCAGATGTGGAAGAAGGAAGATGCTGTGTCTAGAGAGAGAAACTGCTCATGAACTTACCTGTCCCTATCATGACAGGACCATGTGACCTTTGAAAATGTTACCGTGTACTTCTCCCAGGAAGAGTGGGGACTCCTTGATGATGTCCAGAGGTGCCTATAACAGCATGTGATGCTGGAGACCTTTTTACTTATAGCCTCACTGGGTAAAGTTCCTCATTCCCACAGAGCAACCTAGGCTGGGCTCTGCCCTTTCATTTCCCAGAGGTCCCTCAGTTCTTCCCAAAGCCAAAACATGGGCACTGCTTCCTTCCCCAGTTTGCTGGTATAGGTCTGGGCTTTATGCAGCCCCCAAACCTGCTTCCCTGAAATCTTGACTGAAGGTTTGTGGTTCAGTAGTCTTGTGACCTACCCAACAGGTGCCACTTGGCTTCCCCACTCTCTGTGAGGGTGATCATCCAGATCCATGGCATTTCTGTGCCCTAGGTTCTGTCCCCTTCCTATAGCTGACATATCCTGAGGTTTGTCTATCTCAGGAGTTGCATTTGCTGATTGATCACTGCTTTTGGATCATTGCACTATTCTTTCAAGACCCTCTTTGTGGGTTCTTTTTGTAATAGTTTTCCTTCCTGTGCTATCATAGATTGCGTCACTCTGGGTTAGTACTGCCCATTCATCTGCCCTGTCCATTCCTTAGGGCTTGATCTTCCAGGCCTCACATAGTTACAGGCATACCTTGGAGATGTTGCATTTTGGTTTTGACCACTACAATGAAGCAAATATTTCAGTCAAGTGAGTCATGAATTTTCAGGTTTCCCAGTGCATATAAAAGTTATGTTTGCATAATTTATACAGTCCATTAAGTGCAACAGCATTCTGTCCTCAAAAAAACAATGTACCTACTTTAATTGAAAAATAGTTTACTGCTAAAAAATGTTAACCACCATCTGAGCCTTCAGTGAGTTATAATCTTTTTGTTTGTGGAGGGTGTTACCTTCAATTTGTTAAAAAAAACAAAAACACAATATCCGCCCTGGCCGGTTTGGCTCAGCTGTTAGAGCGTCAGCTTGCAGACCAGAGAGCCCCAGGTTCAGTTCCCGCTAAGGGCACGTACCTCGGTTGCAATCTGTCCCCGGCCCCGGTTGGGGTCATGTGGATGGCAACCACTCAATGTGTCTCTCTCACATCGATGTTTCTCTCTCGCGCTTCCTCCCTCTCTCCTTCCCATTCTATCTGAAGATGAATGCAAAAAAAAAAATGTCCTCGGGTGAGGATAAAAACAAAACCCCCCCACAATATCTGTGAAGTGCAAGGAATGAGTTGGTGAATCTACCTGTCCTTGCAAGGCACCCCATCCTTGTAGTCTCCTGTGAGACCTCCCTCATTCTTTAGAGGATCATCACTACACATCAACCACTTTCTCAATCTAATCTTAGCTCCTGCATCCTAGAACAAATCCCACACACTCATTATGGGCTGTGGTAGACACAGATTTTCAGTAATGCTGGCTCCTACTCCCAAAATCTTCATGTACTTCACCAGTATCTGGCTGCTCATAGGTTGTTGCCACGGAGTGGAGGCCAGTGGGGCACCTTCTAAGCAGAGTGTTTCTGTGGAAAGAGCATTACAGGTCAGGATTCCAAAGCTAGGTCTGAGAGTGTGTGTTTCTCTGAGATGTGTGTTCTAGTCTTGAAAGACATTTTGTACCTGACTGACAACCAAGGAATGCATCCTCTGCAGACACTGCACATGTGTGCAGCTTGTGGGAAACAATTCCGGTTCAGTACAAGCCAGCACCAGAACATGGACAGTGGAGAAAAGTCTTTCAGAAGATATGAAGGCAGGGCCACGTTTGTGAAGAGCTGCACAGTCCATGTGTCTCAGAAGCTTTCCACATGCCAGGACATTGAGGGTGATGTCTTGGCCAGCTCAGACCGTCTCCATCACCAGGCTGAGGGATATTCACACAGGAGAACTGAGTACAAGGATGACTTGCAAAATGGGCAAAGGAATAAGCGCAGCAAATACGGGGAAGCCTTCAGCTTGAAATACAAATTTGTTCAGTACCAAGGGGTCCACACTGGAAAACAGCTTTATGAGTCCAATGAACACAGGAAAACCTTCAGACAAAAGGCTCACCTCATTAAACACAAGAGAGTTCACACTGGAGAAAAGCTCTATGAGAATGGTAGATGTGGGAAATGCTTTGACCAAATGTCCAATTTAAATCAACACCAGAGACTTCACACTGAAGGAAGGCCTTTTGAGTGTGGTGAATGTGGGAAGTCCTTTGCCCAATATTCTAAGTTCCTTAGACATAAGAGAGGTCACAGTGGCAAAAGGCATTATGAGTGCAGTGAATATGGGAAATATTTTATGTTATTTATTTATTTTATCCTCACCCGAGGACATTTTCCCATCTTTTGTTCAGATGGAGTGGGAAGGAGAGAGAGGGAGAGAGAGAGAGAGAGAGAGAGAGAGAGAGAGAGAGAGAGAGAGAAACATTGACGTGAAATGGACACATTGAGTGACTGCCACCCGCATAACCAACCAGGGCTGGGGACAAACTGCAAACCGAGGTATGCGCCCTTAGTGGGAACTGAACCCAGGTCTCTCTGGACCTCAGGCTGACGCTCTAACCACTGAGCAAAACCGGCCAGGGCAATGTGGGAAATATTTTAGCCAAAATTTTATCCTTATCCAACACCAGAGAATTCACACGGGAGAAAAGCATTATGAGTGCCATCATTGTGGGAAAGCCTTCAGCAATCACACCAGCAAGCACTAACCAGAGACTTCACACTGGAGAAAGGCCTTACGAGTGCATTGAGTGTGGGAAAGCCTTCAGCCAAAGGGCTCACCTCAGTAAACACCAGAGAGTTCACACTGGAGAAAAACCACATGAGTGCAGCGAATGTGGGAAGTTCTTTAGTCAGATGTTTAATTTAAGTCAACACCAGTGAGTCCACACTGGAGAAAAGCCATATGAATGTGGTGATTGTGGGAAGTCCTTTGTTCAACGCTCTGGATTCTTTAGACATAAGAGAGTTCACATTGGTGAAAGGCCTTATGAGTGTAGTGAATGTGGGAAATCTTTTAGCCAAAACTCTGTACTCATCCAACACCAGAGAGTTCACACTGGAGAAAAGCCATATGGGTGCAATGAATGTGGGAGATTCTTTAGTCAAATGTCTACCTTGAATCAACACGAGAATTCACACTGGAGAAAAACCATATGAGTGCAATGAATGTGGGAAATTCTTTAGTCAAATGTCTACCTTGAATCAACACCAGAGAGTTCACACTGGAGAAAAACCGTATGAGTGCAGCAAATGTGGGAAATTCTTTAGTCAAATGTCCTCCTTGAATCAGCACCAGAGAGTTCACATTGGATGAAGGCCTTATGAATGTGGGAAATTCTTTGGTCAATGTAGCCACCTTATTCAGTACCAAAAACATCACACCAAAGAAAGGCCTCATGAGTGCAGTACATAAGGTGAGAATACTGTCAGTGAATGGTCTGCTCTGTTACAGCATAAGAAATTTCACAACCCAAATGGGTGTTATGAACGCAGCAAGTAAATTCACCCTGAGGACCTGCCATTAGGAGTGCAGGGAAAGGCAATATCTATTATTTCAACATAATGAGACATCTGAGGGTAGCCTTTGCATCAGAGCCATGAGACAGAGATTGAACCTCTTATGTGTGTGAGGGGCTATTGTGAGGCTGTTCTCTGTGAGTGCCACATTCAGGTGAACCATATGGCAAGAATGTTTAGTTTTTTAAGAAACTACCTAACTCTTCCATTTTACATTCCCACCAGCAATGAGTGAATGTTCCTGGTGTGTCAAATCTTCACTAGCATTTGGTGGCGTATCCTGTTCTCTATCCACCATCCCACTTTCTGCTATAGCCACAGTATGCACCCATGGTTCCTCAGGCTGAACTCTGGATGTGTCAGTCAGAATTCTTACAGACCCTACCATGGGCATTGGGCTAGATTTTTTTCAAGGTTGTCACATCTCTTGCTCGTTATGCTTTGGTGTCAGAATCCACCACCTAACATGGCCACATCAAGCCAAACTGCCCCTGGCTCCATGACTCTAGGTTCTATGCATTTGCAACCCCACATCTTGCATGTTTTGACTCAGAGTCACTGTTTTATACCCTTAAGTAAAAGCTTATCTACAGCCACACATTTTCTGGATCCTAAGGATAGCTCCAGAGGAATCTGGGAGGAAAAATTCCTGTTGCACAAAAGCCAGATTCCTCACAGAACCGATTCAGCCCTTGCTGCAAGTTCAGTGACATATGCCTCACTGTGTGAGAGATTTGAATGACTGAAAAGTGAAATCCTACCCATAAAGATGGTGGTATTAGGAGGTGGGGCCTTTGGAAGGAGCTTAAGTCATGAGTTGAGCCCTCATGAATGGGGTGAGTGCCCTACAAAAGAGGCTCCAGAGAGATCCCTAACCTCTCCACCATGTGAGGACACAAGAAGGAATCTGTGCCCCTGAAGAGGGCCTCCTTCTGCCCCCATCCCTGTAAAAAAAATATTAACACACTTATTGTTTATGTAAGACTAGATTTCATTTGTAATGACATAAATTTTATAATTGCATACATTTAAATTTATGGCTCAGCTAAGTTATTATTTCCATGAATTATTGTAGCTGCTAAGTGTCTGGACACAAAGCATCTTTTCATTCCATCACCTCTGCCCTTTCTCTTTCCTCTTGACACAGCTGCCCCGTTCCAGCCCTTCAAAGGAACTTTTCTCTTTTCGGCATATGCTTTCCAACACTCTTCACTTAGTAAATCACTGCAGAATATTTATTTCAAATACAAAAATATATATTCTCAATTGTACAACACCATGGAATTTTTTTTAAAGTCTGCATCCAGAGACACGGAGGACCGGCCCCTGCCCACGAAGGTGCCCATGTGGTACCGGTCATTGGACACATCTTTCTCACCAGTATTTGAGTTCCATTCTGGAGATGTGAAGGGCACAGGCCCTGCCAAAGCAGGAAAAATGTGGAGGACCCAGCTGGCCTTCCAAGTCCCTCTGGCACCACATCCTCAGGATGACCAGATGGCCCCAAGAGCTCCAGGATATTTGATGAAATCTTGGGGGGAATGGCTGGATGGACCACTGTCCCAAGAGACCCTCTTGTCCTATGAACTGCCCTGTATGCAGGTGCAGCAAATTGTTCCCCCTGAAATAGGTGTTTTCTACTGCGGGGTAGGCAAAGACATGCTCTCTGATTGAAGTTGGCTTGCTTTATGAGTAGAATTCCAGGTTTAACCATAACCCACCACCCACCTCTGCTGGGGTTGCCCACTTAGGCCTGCACACCAACTCCTATGATCTTGCTAGTGTCTCCAGACTTACGGGTGGCAGGGTTCTCAACCTTATACTCACTGCCACAGGGCCCCAACTTCCAGGTTGTTTTGTGTGTTGGGCCACACTTGCCTGAGAAAGCCCTTCCAGTTGCTGTGCTCTCAGGACTTGCTTCCCATAATGATCCAAGGAACTCTCATACTGTCTTAGGTTGGGCCTAATCTGTGCATGTTCATTGTGAACAGGATGCTCTCTGCTCGCTGTACCTGTGGCCAGGTGCCTCTACACAAAAGGCAAGAAAGGAGTTGTGAGGTTGACCAAGACAAGTTTGGGTGGCCAGGGTTTTGCTTTCCACGCCCATGATCCTATTCAGTCCTGTTCATGTTTACACCAAGTTGTCAGGCGTCAGCCGGTGGCCACTTTTATATCGTTTCCCTGAGCTCTGGGAAATGGGATTTAGCTGCAGTGACTGAGGCAGAATTCCAGAAGGCTGCCTGACACTATCAGAATCAGCCTGGTCATGCCTGGGTGTCGGTGCTGCATCCATTTGCAGGATATATAGTACCTACAGGCAGATGTGGGGACTGACCATCACCATCTTTCCTGGCCTGGGCATGGGACCATCGGGACAGGTTTACATAGCACACCTATGCACCTCAGCCTGTGGGAGCTGACAGGGGCTCAGCGGGAAATGTGAGAGTGTGTGGGAACCAGCCTGGGTCGGGTGGTCCCTTGTGAGATACCAGAGTTGTCTCAGCAGAATTTTTAAACACATCCACATCAGCAGACAGACCTGGATCCAGCCCATTCAAGCAAAAGTGGAAGGGAGCACTTGTCCTGCCTAGCTCCTGCATGGCGGTCAACAGAGCTCTGAGCAGTGATTGGGTAGTGTTTGAAACTGGTGGATTTGGATCGGCTGCAGCTCCAGGAGGTCTCCATGACCTGTGAAGTGACCCAGTTAACAAAGTAAATTTTTCCACCCCAAATTGGGATTTTCCTGTCACCAGACAAGTGATAACTCCAGCAATTGTGGTCAAAGAGGTTGGTTGTTTGGGTGCATGTGTCTCCAGGCTTGAACACAACACCTGGCTCTTTCTTTACTGCGTCTGTGTGTGAATCTCGAGACCTGGTGCCACTACAGAGCTCAAACACCTGAGTGGCTAGGTCCTCACCTAATCGGTTCATGCTTCAGACATGTAGTGGGGTCATGGTGACCCCATCCTGCAGACTCAGGCATGTCAGTGATGCATCCTTTTCCTGGGTTGTTGGCTGCCCTTGCCAGACACAGCCTTTCTGGTTGCTGTCCCCTGGGCTCCTCCTTGGGGCTTTGTAATACTGATCCACATGGTGCTTGTGCTCTGCCAGGCCAAAGTCTGTGGACGTTCCTAAATTTCTGGTGAGCATGGGAGCTCTTTTCACTTTTCCTGAACCACATCGCTGTGCCTCCCTGCCCAGGGATGCTGTTTAGATGGCAGGGGTTTGGATTTGGATAATCTTGCTCTCCCGTGCTTGGCCTCATGGTGCGGGTGGCCAGGTACTCATCCTTAGCTATGTCTCCCCAGGGTGGGGAGGCCATCTCACCAGGTCCTCTGTGTTGCCCATGGAGGCTCCAAGTAACTCCTCAAGTGAGGACGGACAGGAGTGTTGCTCCCATGCCAATGACCCCCATCCCCATGATCTACTACTGCAGCAGAGACCAATGGTTCATGCTTTGAGTGTCCATTGTGCCTGTATGCCAGATAAAGTGTGGTGGTGGGGCCATAATTCTAGTGCTAATGACAATGGATGCTGAACCCATCTCACCACCAGTGAGGGAAGAAATGCTTGCACTTCTCAGATAAAAACCCAACCATGGCCCTGGCCAGTTTGGCTCAGTGGTTGGAGCATCCGCCTGCGGACCACAGAGTCTCAGGTTTGGTTCCCGCTAGGGGCACATACCAAAAAAAAAAAAACCCAACCATGGCCCAGCCAGTGTGGCTCAGTGGTTGAACATCAACACATGCACTAAGAGGCTGCAAGTTTGATTCCCGGTCAGGGCACGTCCCCAGGTTGTGGGCCCAATCCCTGGTGGAGGGCATGCAGAAGGCGGCCAATCGATGTTCTCTCTCATCGATGTTCCTCTCTCCCTCTCTTTAAAATCAATAAAGAAAATTATTTTAAAAAGAAATAAAACCCAACCATGTCAGCCTTCCTCTACTCTGGGGGCTTTGGAAACTATTCCAGAGCCTGATTTCAGCCCCTCCTGGCAGAAACCCACCTGGAAATCTGCTCCATCATAGTGACCACAGGTTGATAGGGAATGCAACTTACCTACTCTGTATCAGAGAGGAAGTGGTGATGAAAATAATACAGAACTTTTGTGACCCTGTCATTGGAATGAGCCCAATTTAAAAGGTCCCTTAAGAACCAAGACAGCAAGTCTGGTTGTCACCAAATGCAGAAACTCCAGTTCAATGTCATTTACTGAGGATGTGAATTTTAAATTTTAGTGAACAGTGCACGATCTATGGGACAGTGTTATTTCTATACTCTTCGTAATTGCCATGTTTGTCATCTACAAAATCATAGTTAACTATCAGAAAATATTAACTGGGCCGCTTTACAATTCCAACAATCCCTTTGCTCTAATGGGCTTCTGTTGTCTTAATATGTATATAATGCTGACATTAAAACTAAAAGTCATGCCCTGGTCAGTCTGGATCAGCGGTTAGTGTTGGCCCATGGGTGGAAGGGTTGTGAGTTGAACTCCCCATCAAGGGCATGTACCTGGGTTGCAGGTTCGATCTCCAGCCCTGCTGGGCTGAGTGAGAAGCAAACAATTGATGTCTCTTGCACATTGATGTTTCTCCCCCCTCCCCTTCCACTCTTTTTGTGTGTGTTTGTGTGTAGTACATGCCCCTAGTGGGAACCAAACCTGGGACTCTCTGGTCTGCAGGCCGATGCTCAACCGCTGAGCCAAACTGGCCAGGGCACCCTTCCACTCTTTTTTAAAAAAATCAATGAAAAAATACCCTCGGGTGAGGATTAATAGAAAAAAATATTTTAATAAAAATAAAGCTTAAAAATAAAAAGAAGTAAAAGTCACTTTTATCAGCAAAGTGTGTTTATTCAGGAACAGCAAAAAGCTGTAATTTGAGAAGGAGAGGAATGTTATGAGGGAGGGAAAGTTGGGAAGGGTAGTTTTTGAGAAAAGTGAAAATTCAGGTGATAACTGTTTCTCATAGGGTGAGTGGCTGGAATAGTTGATTTCTTGGAGGAGATGCATTAACAGTAAAAGCCAAAAAGGTGGAAAGAAGTCAAACATCCTCCATTGACAGATTTAAATGTCAACATTCATAGAGCAGAATAGTATTCAACAGAAGAAATAAAATATTTCCAATAAGTATGATTGATGTATACCAACCTCAAAAGTAATATTATGAGCATAAAGAAAACCAAAATGTAAAACCTCTGAGAACACTTCATGACTCAAATCATATAAAATTTTATAAAACACAAAATCTGTGAAAGAAATTAACACTGATCCCTCTTTGAAGGGTAGAGGAAGATTTAAAAAGGGCAAAAAGTGAGAATGAGGTAAGTCATGATTTTGAACATTTCATAGATGCATGCCAAAACTAAACAACTAAAACAAGTGTAGTTCCATAGCATGTCGAAGTATAAAAATCATCCAAATGATAAGTCTGGATCCCCTTACATTGTTTTTCATATGCATGCTTTGGGAAGCACAGCCCAACCTCAGTAGCAGGAAATACTCAGAAATGATCTTGTTTCCTGATAGTTACTTGGCTGGGTCACAAAAGCTGCTACATCCCTGGTCTCTCACTCCTATTTTCATTTCCTTGCCTGTGTAGCAATATGTTCAGATGGAACAGCAATATGTTCAAACACTACTATAATAACCAAATTATCAAAGCTGTATTTGCTCACAATGACCTCAACTACAGGACATTCATCCCCACACAGCCTTTCGTCACTGGAACATGTATAGAGGGTACACCTCTAGTTGCTCCAGTCTCACCCAGTGCTTTGATATAAATTATGATTTCATCCCAGCCCAACAGTCTTACAACTACTAACACCAGACAACCCAACTCAAGACAGACAACCCACTCAAGACATGAAAAGCACGTTTCTTCTTAGTACCTGGGAAACAGCTTCCTTTCAATCGTGCTCAGCATATGATGACATCCATGGGAAAAGAGAATCAACTTATATTTGCAGAAGCACTGGAGGTTGTCACAAGTCTTACCTTACTCTTCTGGGCTGACATCCAGGGTATAAATGAGGACCACAAATTGTTAAGTTTCTCTTAAGAAGCCTTTGGCAGCAATGTGACAGACCACAACTGGAGAAGCAAACCCTTCTTTTCAAGCTACCATTTACCCAGCCCAATACTGGCCAACAAAACTGAGTGCAGATTATGCCCTAACTGGTTAGGAAGGAGGAAGAGTCTCCTTTCCCCTACTCAGACACATCTGGGGAACCTCGAGGTGGCTGGCAGAAGTGAGAGATTGCCTGTGGCAGGGGCATGAATTCAGGCAAGGGAAACGACAGGGTAGAAATAAAAGCTTCCCACATACCCAGAATAATTCATGGGTGAGATTCTCCCTACTGTAGACGGTGAAGCATAAAGTTCAACTTCAGAGGACTTCCTAATAAAAAAGTAGCGAGTTCCCTGAGGCAGGTCTCAGGCTTTTCTCCTGTGTGGACTTTCTGGGACCAAACAATGTTAATATCTTTAGAAAAAGTATCTCTGGGTTTAAACTGTTTCATTGAATTGAGAGCAGAGCAGTGGCTAACAAATTTGCCCAGAGACATTGCACATTCATGAGGTTATCTGGTGTGAAGTTTTCTGTGTTGAATGATGTGGGAGCTCTGGCTAAAGGATTTCCCACATTCCCCACACTCGTAAGGCCTTTCTCCTGTGTGAACTCTCTGATGCTGAATGAGGTTAGACTTTTGGCTGAAAGATTTCTCACACTCACCACACTTATAAGGCCTGGCTCCAGTGTGAATTCTCCGGTGCTGATTGAGAGTGGAGCTGTGACTGAAAGATCTCCCACAATCCCCACACTCGTAAGGTCTTTCGCCAGTGTGAATCCGCAGGTGCTGAACGAGTTTGCACTTGTAGCTAAAAGATTTTCCACATTCACTGCATTTATAAGGCCTTGCCCCATTGTGAATTTTCTGGTGCTGGACAAGATTGGAGCTCTGACTGAAAGAGTTCCCACACTCACCACACTTATAAGGCCTGGCTCCTGTGTGCACTCTCTGGTGTTTAATGAGAGTGGAGCTGTAGCTGAAGGATTTTCTACACTCCCCACACTCATAAGGCTTAACTCTATTGTGAATTTGCAGGTGCTGAACAAGCCTGAGTTTGTATGTGAAGGCTTTTCCACACTCGTTGCATTTGTAAGGCCTGGCTCCAGTGTGAATTCTGTGGTGCTGAATGAGGTGGTAGCTTTGGCTGAAGGATCTCCCACATTCATTGCACTCATAAGACCTTGCTCCCGTGTCAGGTCTCTGGCAATCACTAACAGGGGAGCTTTGGTTAAAGGGTTTCTTACAATCATCACAGTCATGACTTTGAGGGTGAAGCTGCTGATGCTGAAGCAGTTTGTATTCGTAGCTGAGTGGTTTCTCATAGTCACTGCCCGTATGATTCCTCCCGCTATGAAAGGCCTCCTCATCCCCACACTGAAAATTGCTGGGTGACTTTGCCCCTTTGAGAGTGGCCTGATGCTGGAGAAGACTCAACATGGCCAAGAAGTCCTTCCTGACTGCCCCACAAGTGAACGTGAAAGGCTTCCCTGACATGTGGAATTTGCAGCTTGTCACAAATGAGGCTGTGTCCATGTCCCTCCAGAGTGGCTTTTCTTCATTGTGCTTCTCGTGCAGGTCTGGACTGAACCAGGGTTGTTTTCCACAGGCCTCATAATTGTGTGATGTCTGGCCAGGATGTGATCTGGGGTACTCTGTCAGGTACAAAATGTCTCCCCTGACCAGGACACACTTCTCACAGGGGTGAGTCTCCTGAATGGCTGGATCTGGAACTGGAGTCTGGCCTAGGGACGTTCGTGCTACAGAAACACTTGGCACAGACAGCGCCGCCGCCTCCTCCTCCATTCCGTACCAGCAACCTGAAAGCACAGAAAGGCTGGTAAGTGTGTGCTGACATGGGGGGCAGGAGCAGCCCCATCACAGATGTGTGTGAGGGACACTAAAGAAATGAATTCAGTGGACTGTTTTTAGGTTGGTGAAAGGGGCTGCTTTATACTAAGTACTGGGACTCGAATTTGGGGAGGTCCTCAATGGTCTCCTCTTCCCATGGCCTTCAGTAGGGTCTCGGCTGTGTGGCCATTTATGTCCAGGCCAAGGAAACTGGGGGCACGTATGAGAGTCTTACCCAGTGAAGTCACAAGGGCAAAGTTCTCCAGCATCACATCGTGGTACAGGCATCGCTGAGTCTCATCCAGGAGCCCCCACTCCTCCCAGGAGAAGTACACAACCACATCCTCAAAGGTCACACGGCCCTGCCATGAGGTGGAGAGATGAAACTACAAACAAACCCTCTGCCAAGGCCCTACAATCCATCTACCCACACACCTGCCCCAAGCATCCCAATTCAAAGGAGATACCAGGCCCTCTTTGCCAGGAGGAGGCCTAAACACACATACCAGCCACCTCCCCCAGCCAGGCGACTTCCCCAAAGTATCCTCCACAGTACACCCAAATGTACCTTCAACTTCCACTTAAGTCCCTAATGCCAAGAACTGAGGGCCATGTGCATTTTTCCGGCATCTATTACCCATCACATGGCAACAAGAGTATTTGACACAAATGAGACACACTGCCACTATAGATCTGATGGACCCTCAAGTCCACTCTGAAGGTCCCGTCTGCTTGGAATCCTTGCTTCATTCTCAGCTACCTCACACATACTCATGGTCCTCTACTGCCCTGTGTTGTATTGATTACCCCTCACCAGTCAGCCCCTTTCTTTTCTTTTTTAGGGGCCATAGTAGTCTACTCTGCATTGTTCCAATTTTAGGGCATGTGCTGCCGAAGCAAGCACTCAGCCCTTTGCCTTTTTCTTTCTTCAGTTTTTAAAAGACATGTTTTTAATGATTTCTTAGAGAGAGAGAAAGAGAGGTACAGAAACATTGATCCCGGGATGTGCCCTTACCAGGAATCAAACCAGTGACCTCTTGGTGCATGGGACGACGCCAATCCACTGAGCCATACCAGCGGGGCTCAGGCCTTTACACCTTCCCTCATTCACTCCTTAGCTATGTTGCTTTGCTAAGGGTTATCCCAGTCATATTGTATTAAATCCACCTATAACCTCATTTTAACATAATTACCACCTTAAGGACCCTATTGCCCACTATAGTCACATTCTGAGGTACTGGGAGTAAATTACTTTAACATATAAACACCCTTAGCGCCATGAAAAATTCCATAAAATTCTGGTGAGTCAAAAATGACCTTTAGATCGGTCACCTTGTCTCACCTACTCCTAGCCTTCTATAATCTGTCTATTCTTCCCTTGGAAGCCTTGTCTACCTGCTAGATTACCCTCTTCTCCTCCCTCACCTGTGTTTGACAGGCCATTCCCTCCAAGCAGTTGCCCAGAAAGAAGCCGAGACTTAGAACTAACCCTCTTCTTCCTAGTCTGTCAATAACATACCACCTGAATTGCCTTTCCAAACTGCGACACAAAGCTCTCTATCTAGTCCACACAGTAACCACCACCTATTAGGTGTCTAATGCTGAACCCCGTCTCAAATTTGTAGACCTTTATATCCAACTGGCTTCACTCACTGTTATCTGAACTATGTCAGACTCTTGATCAAAATTACTCTCAGTACTGACTGCTCCAGCCTAGTTAAAGGGAGCTCCCATAACCCTAGGTGCTAAGACAAGAACTGCAGGGTGGTCATTCCTGATTCCTCCCATTTTGTTCCTTACCCACCAAAAACTTCTGGTTACAATTTACATTCATCTCACCAGGATGCTGTAGAATAGCTTCCTCCCCAACCATCCGAGTTTGTTTTCACCATTTTACTCCCATCTCTCTGTTCCCAGTTTTGCTGATACTGGTACCTGTGCTGAGAAATGCCTCCATATAACCAGCCTGGGTTCGATGCTTCTCCAGGGGATCAGAGAATGGAAGATGAAGAGGACCAGGACACCCCCAACCTTAATTTTTGTCAGCACTTATAAAAATCAGTGGGCAAGCCAGAGGCAAGTGTGGTGGAGCTCACTGGACTCTGGTCCCCATTGCACTTCTGTCCATTCTTGAAGTCAGGAGACCTCAGACCATTTGTCTACAATCTGAGATTCAATCTTCAATGCTGACTCTTTTTTGTTTTTTTCTCCCGACCCAAGGACATTTTTGCATTTATCTTCAGATAAAGCGGGAGGGAGAAAAGGAGGAAGAGGGAGAGAGGGAGAGAGAGAGAGAAACATCGACGTGAGAGAGACACATCGAGTGGTTGCCACTCCCAAGACCCCAACCAGGGCCAGGGACAAACCACAACTGAGGTACGTGCCCTTAGTGGGAACCGATCCCAGGACTCTCTGGTCTGCAGGCCAACACTCTAACCGCTGAGACAAACCAGCCAGGGCTTCAGTGCTGACTCTTAATCAACCTCCCTATGCCACCTCACTGTTCTCAACCCTCTCTACGCTGCTCTTCCTGTAAATAGTCTCTTGGCAAGCTATTATATCCTCAATCAGACCATGTTTCTCCTTTGGTGAAACTCCCCCAGCCCCTAGAGCACTCAGCCTGTTATTCCCAAGTATCACTCCAGCTCACACTCTCTGCTCTCTGCAGGCAGAAGGCGAACCTCAGGTTCCAAACCTTCCTGGCTCAGTTGCAGCTCCACATCTTTGCTCCATTGGCCCCTGTGGAGGGTCACCCTCGAGAGCCTCCTTCTCCTGGATGATGGGGCTCGGGCTACAGGACATGACAGGTGCACTGCACCCGGGCTTTAGGGTTTGGTAGGGGGGTATGCACTCACCTCAGCTGAGCCCCTCAGTGCGGCCACTGCCATTGTACTCTGTGCAACAAGGACAACAGCTCCTGCCCCGCCTTCTCTGTCTGGTTGTGACATCCAGAGTCTCTGAAGGAGCAGCCACAAGGAGAATGCTGGCAGTCCTGGACCTTCATTGGCTCCACATGAACACCACTCCACCCAGGGTTCTCTGGGCAATGATGTTCTCACAGCTCCAGAGGCCTCCAAGTCGGGAGGCCCACAGCAGAACCTCCTGAAACAGAGAGGAAGCAGCAGTGCCAGGGGCGTCCTGGCTCCAAGGGCAGAGGAGAACTGCTCTTTCTTAAAGGGGCCTTGCTCAGATTCCTGGGAAGTTGCCAGCAACTGATCGCTTATGTGTTTAGAGGCATTATTTCAGTCTCCAGGAAATAGCCAGAAGTTATCAGTATCATTGCAGGTACCACCCCCCAACTTTTATATCAACCAATTTTATAGTCACATAGACAGTCACTGACACCAACTATGTTCACTAGTTTCTATGGCTCCTGAAGCCTTTATCTCTTTGTGTATTATTTCTATTAGATTATTATACCCACCAAAATGACCTTGAGTTTCTTTCTCCCCCACAGGAAACAACACAAATGAATGTGTAAAGGAGCCACATGTGCTCACCAGGATCAGGTAGCTCTGGCTTCCTCAGAAGGTCCGGAATGTAGTCTAGTGCTGAGAGTGTGCAGCACTCACCACTTAGACCTGTCAAGCACAAAAATAACAGAGCCATTAGACTACACCATGAGGCCAAACACATTACAGGGAAATCTCAGATTTTTTTTTTTAATCCTCAGGTGAGGACATTTTTCCATTTTTTGTTCAGATAGAGTGGGAGGGAGAGAGAGGAACAGAGAGATAGAGAGAGAGAAACATCAATGTGAAAGGGACACATCGAGTGGCCATCCTCTGCACAACCCAACCAGGGCCAGGGACAAACTGCAACCGAGGTACGTGCCCCTAGCGGAAACCGAACCCGGGTCTCTCTGGACCACAGGCCAATGCTCCAACTGCTGAGCCAAACTGGCCAGGGCGGAAATCACAGATTTTGACAATATTTCCTAAACCTTTCCATTCTGTCTAAAATATCCCAGGGAGCCCTGGCTGATTTGGCTCAGCGGTTAGAGCATCGGCCTGCGGACCAGAGAGTCTCAGGTTCGGTTCCAGCTAGGGGCACGCACCAAAATAAGTAAGTAAGTAAGTAAGTAAGTAAAATATCCCAGGGAAATGTGCATGTCACTTTCATAAAAATGTTAGTAGATAAACCAAGAGTTTCAGGATCCAGTACAAGAAAGAGCAGAAGCTGAGATACTGGGACAAAGCTAAAAACCTAGAACCCACTCAGGAGGCAAGTCTTACTGAGGAAAAGCCCAAGCCCATTCTGTGTAAAACAGAAAATGAGTAACATCCAACAAACTTGCCAATGCTACATGATCCCTTCAGAAAAAGAATAGATTTTTCAGCAAGTTGTTACCAAGGGCCCCATGTGTTTTGGTTTCCACACATGCCTCTTTTTGTTATTAAGTTATAAAAAAAGAGGTGAGGAATTTCTAAGGATCCAAATCTCAGTCTGAATGAGAAAGATAATGTCCAAATTTAAGTATGTTTAGAGGCTGACAGTATCTGAATCAGAGCAATGTAGTGACAAAGAAAGAACAGTGAGTCCACTGTCATCACACCAGAAAAGGTCTCAACTCACATCACAAATTCTTTCATAATTACAAAGCTGTTTTCTATAGAGTAGAATAAATCCTGCAGCATCTGGACATGCTCAATAAATTTTGCCTAAGCCCTGGCCAGTTTGGCTCAGTGGACAGAGCATCGGCCCATGAGCCAGAGTCCGAGGTTTGACTACTGTCAGTTGTAGATTCCATCCCAAGCCCTGGTCGGGATTGTGGGGGAAACAACCAAATAGTGTGTGTCTCTCTCCCCAACCCTCCCACTCTATTTGAAAGAATCAACATAAATATATCCTGGGGTGAGAATTTAAAAAAAAAATTTTTTTTGCCTATGGTTGAACCTGCAGATCATAATTTTACATTAAAAAAAAAAAAGAGCCCTGGCCAGTTTGGTTCAGCAGTTGGAGCGTCGGTCTGCGGTCCTGAGAGACCCGGGTTCGGTTCCCGCTAAGGCCGCGTACCTCGGTTGCAGTTTGTCCCCGGCCCTGGTCGGTTGTGCGGGTGGCAGCCACTTGATGTGTTCCTTTCACATCGATGTTTCTCTCTCTCTCTCTCTGTTCCTCTCTCTCCCTCCCACTCCACCTGAACAAAAAAATGGAAAAATGTCCTTGGGTGAGGATAAAAAAAAAAAAAGAACCCAAGCCCGACCAGTGTGGCTCAGTGGATTAAGCATCGTTCCATGGACTGAGATCCGATTTGATTCATGGTCAGGGCACATACCTGGGTTGCGGGCTTGATCCCAAATAGGGGATATGCAGAAGGCAGTCAATTGATGTATCTCTCTCCCCCTTCCTCTCTCTCTAAAAAAAAATCAATAAAAAAGTTTTTTTTTTTAATCCTCACCTGAGGACATTTTTGCATTTATCCTCAAATAGACTGGGAGGGTGAGAGGGAGGGAGAGAGAGAGAGAAACTTCGACATGAGAGAGACACATTGAGTGGTTGCCACCCTCACGACCCCAACCGGGGCCAGGGACAAACTGCAACTGAGGTACATGCCCTTATCGGGAACCGAACCCGGGTCTCTCCAGTTCGTGGGCCAACGCTCTAACTGCTGAGCCAAACCGGCCAGGGCAATAAAAAAGTATTTTTTTAAAAAACTTCACCTTGCCCTGGCCGGTTTGGCTCAGGGGTTAGAGCGTTGGCCTGCAGTCCAGAGAGACCTGTGTTCAGTTCCCGCTAAGGGCGCGTACCTCGGTTGCAGTTTGTCACCGGCCCTAGTTGGTCGTGTGGGTGGCAGCCACTCGATGTGTCCCTTTCACATCGATGTTTCTCGCTCCCTCTCCCTCTTCCTCTCTCTCCCTCCCACTCTATCTGAACAAAAATGGAAAAAATGTCCTTGGGTGAGGATAAAAAATAAAAATAAATTTAAAAAGTCACCTTTACAAAAAAAATGTATCCAAATATCACGGGTAGTTGGCTATTTTTCCCTCACAATGACAGGGAAAGTAAATGTGTGTTAAATTAAACATTTCAAAAAGTCACCTCAATTCTCTCAAAGGTACACAAAACCCCAAACAAGCAGCAGCTAGCCTCAGTGTGCCCTGTACTTCTTGCTAAGCATCTACAAGCCAACCTCAGTTCTCAGCATAGCCTCTCAAGAGCCTCCACTTTGTGAAGATCACTTTGTAGCTCCTACCAGGCCATAGCTGACCTTGGCCTGGACTGGAGCCCCTCCCAATAGGCCCCAGAACCACAACTGAGTAACACCCAATTGGCACAAGTGACAAACCCAATTAAGTGGACCTGACAGGTACCAGAACTCCACCAAAGCAAATTCTGCTCCTTGGGCTCACAGAACAGCTTATCCACTGTAGTTAGGGCCAATTCCACCCACTGACCTGCCAACAGAAGTCAAGGCTCAACAACAGAAGGGCACACACAATTCACAAAATGGATGGTCCTACAGCACCTGGCTCAAGTGATCAGGAAAACTGCACCACTGAGCCCCACAGAACACCTACCTAAAGCCACCCTGCCAAGACACAGCAGATCTACCTAATATGTAGAAACAGCCAGCCAAAACAAACGAAGAAATATGTCCTAAATAAAAAGAACTAAACAGAGTGGAGAAATACAATCTATCAGATAGAGTTCAAAACACTGGCTACAAGGATGCTCAATTAACTTAGGGGAGGAGTAGATGAACTCAGTGAAAACATCAACAAAGAGAAAGAAACCACAGAAAAAAACCAGTCTGAAATGAAGAATACATGTGATGAACTTAGCAGCAGATTAGATGAGGCAGAGAATCGAATGAGTGATTTGGAAGGCAGGCAGTGGAAAACACCCGAGTGGAACAGCATGCACGCACGCACGCACACACACAAAACAAACAAACCACAAAACAAGCAAACCAAAACAAAAGCCCTGGACCAGATGGCTCCACAGGTGAATTTTACCAAACAATTCCAAAAAATTCAACAAGAGAGAAGGCTCCCAGGCTCATTTTACAAGGCCAGCATTACCCTGATACCAAAACAAGGATAAGACATCACAAAAAAATACTATAGGCCAATAACCCTTAAAAAATCCTCAAAAAAATGTATTAGCAAACTGAATTCAGCAACACATTAAAAAGATACATCCTGGCCAGTGTGGCTCAGTCAACTGGAATGTTGTCCCATATCCTGAAAGGTTGTAAGTTCAGTTCCTGGTTTGGACACATACCCAGATTTCACATTCGATCCCAGGCTTAGCATGCTTGAATCAATCAATCGATGTTTCTCTCTCACACTGATATTTCTCACTCTCTCAAATCAATAAAAATATATCCTCAATGAGGATTTTTTTAAAAAGATCATACACCAAGATCAAAATCAAGTGGGATTTATTCCTCATACACAAAAATAAATAAAAATTGTATGATCATATCAATAGATGCAGAAAAAGCATTTGACAAAACCCAACATCCATTTTATACACACACACACACACACACACACACACACTTTATTTATTTATTTATTTATTTTGGAGGAAGGGAAACAGAGAGAAACATCGGTATGAGACAGAAACATCAATTGGCTGCCTCCTGGATGCACAATGACTGGGAATAGAACCCACAATATGGGTATGCGCCCAGACTGGGAATTAAACTGGCAACCTCTTGGTGCACAGGACAATGCTCAACCAACTGAGCCACTCTGGCCAGCATATAAACGTATTTTAATTTTAATTTTTTTGTGGCATGTGCCCCTAGTGGGAACTGAACCCAGGACTCTCTGGTCTGCAGGCCGATGCTCAACAGCTGAGCCAAATTGGCCAGGGCTAAACATATTTATTTTAAAGTGTATAATGTGATGAGTTTTTAGCAGATACCTCTGAAACCATCACCTCAGTCAAGATAGTGAACATATTCTTTACCACCCTAAGTTTTTTCATAACCCTTTCCTATACATCCTTCCTCATCCAAACCACCATTCTCAAGCAAACATTGACCTACTTATGTTATGACAGGCGAAGCTGCATTTTCTAAAATCTTATATAAACAAATTTATATATATGACATATATATGATCTATATATATATATATATACACATATATATACATACATATACATATATAAAATCATGCCCTGGCCAGTTTGGCTCAGCGGTTAGAGCGTCCGCCTGCGGTCTGGAGAGACCCGGGTTCAGTTCCCACTAAGGGCATGTACCTCGGTTGCAGTTTGTCCCCGGCCCTGGTTGGTCGTGCGGGTGGCAGCCACTCGATGTGTCCCTTTCACATTGATGTTTCCCTCTCTCTCTCTTCCTCTCTCTCCCTCCCACTCTGTCTGTACAAAAAATGGAAAAATGTCCTCGGGTGAGGATAAAAAAAATATATATAAAAAATAAATAAATAAAATCATGATGTAGTCTTGTTGAATTCTTCCACTCAGCATAATTATTTAGTGACCCATCCATGTTTTTGTTTATATCCCAATGTAATGGTGTTAAGAGGTGCAGTTTAGGAAAGTAATTAGATTAGATGAGGTCATCAGGCTTGGACCTTCAAGATAAGATTAGTGCCTTTACAAGATGCACCAGAGAACTTGCCCTTCCTCTGTCTTTCTACCACATGAAGACACAAGCACTAAGACAATTGCTTTTTATACCTGAGCAATAGTCCATTAAATAGTTGTAGTATAATTTGTTTATTCATTCAAGTGACTTTTAGGTATTTCCCCTCTTTTGCTATTAAAAATAAAGCTGCTATGGTCCAGCCCGTGTGGATCAGTGGTTGAGCATTGACCCATGCACCAAGAGGTCGCTGGTTCGATTCCCGGTCAGGACACATGCCCAGGTTATGGGCCCGATCCCCAGTGGGGAGCATGCAGGAGGCGGCCAATCGTTGTTCTTTCTCATCGACGTTTCTATCTCTCTCTCCCTCTCACTTCCTCTCTCTCTAAAAATCAATAAAGGAAAAAACAATTAAAAAATTAAGCTGCTATGGCCCTGGCTGGTTTTGCTCACTGGTTAGAGCAACAGCCAGTGGACCAAAGAGCCACATTTTTTATTCTGATCAAGGGCACTTATCCTGGTTGCAATTCGATCCCCATCCCTGGTTTGGGTTGTGCGGGAGGCAACCAAACAATGTGTCTCTCACATCAATGTTTATCTTTCTCTCTCCCACACTCCCTCCCTCTCACTCTATCTGAAAATCAACAAAAAAATATCCTCTGGTGAGGATTTAAAAAAATAAAAATAAAGCTGCTATGAACACTGTATACAGGTCTTTGTACAAACACTTATTTCCTTTGGATAAATATCTAAAAATGGGATGGCTGGGTTGTATGTACGCTGTATGATTTTTTGTTTTTGTTTTTGAATCCTCACCCGAGGATATTTTCCCATTGATTTTTAAATAAAGTGGAAGGGAGAGAAACATCCACAAGAAAGGCATACTTTGACTGGTTGTCTCCCACACAACCCCGACTGGACCAGGTATAGAACCTGCAACCAGGTACGTGCCCTTGACCAGAATTGAACCTGAGATCCTTTCCTCCACAGGCGGATGCTCTAACCGCTGAGCAAACGAGCCAGAGTGAAACTGTACGTTTAACTTTTAAAGGCTGCCAGACTGCTTTCCAAAATGGTTAAACTTTTTCCACTCCTACCAACATTGGATGAGAGTTCCACTTATTCTACATGCTTGACAACACTTGATATGGTCAGAGTTTTTAATTTTAATGACTCTAGTAAGTGATTAATGGTAAATAAGTCATTATGGGTTTAATTTTTCATTTTGAGTTGTAAATATTTATATATATTTGATATACATGTTTTGTTGAATATATTTTGCAAATGTGTTCTTCTAGTCTCTGCCTTTTCATTTTTATATCATTTGAAAAGCAAAGTTTTTAATTTCAAAAGACCCTCTTCTTCTAGCCCCCAGAACTGTGAAAAATTCCTGCTGTTTATAAGTCACCTAGTTCATGGTATTTTGTTATAGCAACACAAGCACCCCAAGACACTTCACTTCCACATTAGGAAATCTAGATGATCCTTAATAAAAACACATCCAGAATCTAGCAACTCTTCCTAAGCCATGATTCTGGTTCCATGAACCCTCAATTAAATTACTGCAATAGTCTCCACCTTGGTTTTCCTTCCTCTTCCCTCACCCTCACAATATATTCTTTACTGTGCAGTGATGGAACCTAAGCCTTGGGTAAGGTCATCTGCCTTTTCTGATCCAAACATCCCATCACCACCAGAATAGATAACCAACTTCTCAAACAGTCAGTCCAGTCCTGAATCCTGTCCTCCTGCTCTTAGTTCACACCTGAAAGGCGGGAGCTCTATGGTTTCCTAAATGCTCTCAGCTCAGCTTTACCTCCAAGATTTACATTCTGGTCCTAGGATAACCTTTCCACGTCTCTTTACATTAGGTACCAAAAAGAAAAATAAAATACAACCATGTCAGATTTCAATGGGTTCATACCTGGCCTTTGAACCGGGTAAACAAGGGCTGGATGGATGTCTAACCTCTGTGCCTCCTCTTACTAGCTCTGCGCCCTTCAACAAAAGTTTAACCGCATAGTGAGTGCCTCGATGTCTTCATTACCCTCTTTCAGTCTGTTCTTGCGTGGAACAGCCTTTGGGACACTTGTAAAACCCTAATGTACTTCATGTCCCTCCTCTGTTTAAAATCCTCCACGGAGTCCCGGTGAACAGCTCAGTGGATTAGAGTGACGTCCCAACACACCGACGTTGCGGATTCGGTCCTGGTCAGGGCACATACAGGAATCAACCAGTAAGGGCATAAATAAGTGGAACAACAAATCCATGTTTCTCTCCCTCCCTCTCTAAAACTCAATCACTGCCTCAATGAAGTAAATAAAATAAACCCTTCCTGGCTTCAAGAGGATGTAGGTAGAACACACAGCCTGCTCTTCCAGGAGTGACTCAGCCTCAAGCACTGTTCCTCGCAGGCACGGCAAATCCTACTTTCCCGGAGCCTCCCGGCTCAGTCGAACGTCTGGGCTTCTCACATACCGGTTTCTCAGCCGGTGACCCTCTCCCCCACCTAATTACACCCCCGACGGAATAGTAGACATTCACAGGCACGGTCAGAAAGAGGATCACATCTACGAGCGCTCACGGTCCGCACGCCGGGCCTGGGCTGCAGGACGTGACGGACGCCCGCACCCGGGCTGCAGGGCTCGGGGCGGGGAGGCGAGGAGGGTCCGGGGGACGCGCTCTCACCTCAGCTCGGCCGCCGCCATCCGGGCCTCTGGGCGGAGCGGGACGGGAGTTCGTATCCCGGTCCCGGTGCAGACCATCTTGGGCGGCGCCGCGGCCGAGCCCCAGATTCGCCTTGTTGATGTGGGGACGACCCCTCTGACTTCTTCTCGGTCTCGTTCCCCTGCCCAAGACACCGCGCTCTGGAACCACCACCAGGTTGAACACACCCAAGCAGCCAAAATGACCGCCGGGAGGAGGACGCCGGAAGTCCCACCCCGCGCGCGGCGCCACACACGGAAACAACTGCGTCCTGAGCCCTCATTGGTCCAGAAGGGCTGCCACTCGACGCAGAGCATACCGGGTAATGTAGTTCCGAGGGACTGAAGCTGTCGCTCGTACCCTGCCCTCCGGCAAAAAATTTTACACCCGAGAGGCACTGGGAAACCGCGTTACGGGTCCGAGGTCTTAGAACAGTCTCGGTTGGTTCGTGAAGCAGCAGAAATCAGGTTTCTGGGGAGAGTTGCGCATTGCCTGCCCCAGTTCACCCGTGTTTGGAGACATTAACTCAAGCCCTGTGTCGTTCAGCTGATTCCCAGGAGCAAAACATTATTTCAGATGCCCCGCCCCCCGCCCCCGCAAAGGCTAAAGACCCAAGTACACGGATCATTCCGTAGTTCTCACCAAGGGCTGTTTCACCGGAATTATCTCCTCTACCACCTACAAATTACCACATAGACATTGTTGAAATTTTTTTGTAATTTGCATTCTACGTGCTAGGAGTACCTTATCAACACCTCACTGGGAAGGACTTATCACTTTTCTTGTTATTGCAGAGGCTCACCTCCATGAGAATTTAACTTACCTCAGAAAAGAACTGTTTAAAATGTAAAATTGCCCTGGCCAGTGTGGCTCAGTTGGCTGAAGTGTCGTCAAGTGCACCAAGGAGTGGTGGGTTGGTTCCCAGTCAGTGCACATACCCAGGTTGCGGTTCAATCCCCAGGGTGGGGTGCCAGTGGAAGGCAACTGATGGATGTTTCTCTCTCTATGCCCCAACTCCCACCTTCTTCTCTCTCTAAATTAGTAAAAAAAATAAAAATACAAAATTCCTCAGGTGAGGATTAAAAAGGAAAAAAAAACAGTCTGGCTGGTGTGGCTCAGTGATTGAGCCTCAACCCATGTACCAAGAGATCACCTGTTTGAATCCTGGTCAGGACACATGCCCAGGTTGTGGGCCGATCCCCAGAGTGGGGCATGCAGGAGGCGTCAATCAGTGATTTTTCATCCATGTTTCTATCTCTTTCTCCCTCTTCCTTCCTCTCCCTCTAAAGTCAATACAGAAAAAAAAAATTTTGAAGAAAGAAACCAGGCCTGCCCACCCACGAAGTTACCTTTTAGAAAACACTGAGTTACCTAGATAACTGACTGCTTAAGTGACCCTGTTTTTCTTTCACCATGCTTTAATTCTCGATTTTACATTAATTCCCCAAAGTACAAAAGGTTGGTCAACACAAATGCATTTAGTGCAGCTTTCTGCTAGGTAGTGATTTTGGGAGTTAGGATTCTATCCTCCTAGAGACTGGGAGAAAGAGCCTATATCCTTCCTGATTTCCGTTCATTCAAAGGAATAGCTGTCAGGCCCTTGAGACATTTCTGAGGTGTAAAACATACATATTTACCATTGTAAGCCCTTTTTAGTAACTATAACAAATAGTAAATTCTCATGGCAGCCTTGAGTTTCCTCATTCTAGCATTTTAATTGAGGCCTAGGTTCATGCCAGGCTGAAATTATCCTAGAGACTGGGCTTATGCTTCTAGAAGCCATCTTTGAAATTGGTTACGTTTCCTAGTGCAAGACTTGGGGAGGGTTCTTACCTACGAAGAATTCAGGTCTAAGTGTCAGTGTTGTAAAAGGAATTGAATAAATGTTAGGATAAAAGTCAGTATATCAAGTAAGAGATACTAAGTAGATAAAAATGCAGCTCATTGAGTTGGACACAATAATTGACTATACAGACAGGAAGGTGTTTTATGTAGGAACCACAAATACCCAGATTTGCACTTTTTTTGTTGTTGATAATCCTCACCCGAGGATATTCCTCCATTGATTTTTAGAGAGAGTGGAAAGGAGAGAGGGCAGGAGGGACAGGGAGAGAGGAAGAAACAGGGATGTGGGACAGACATATAGATTGGCCAACTCCTGCACCACACAGACCAGGACTGGGGATCGAACATGCAACCCAGATATGTGACCCTGCCTGGGAATCAAACCTGTGACCCTTTGGTCCATGGGCCGAAGCTTTTTAAATTTTTTTAATTCTCACCAGAGGATATTTTTCCATTGATTTTTCAGATAGAGTGGGAAGGAGGGAGAGAGAGAGAGAAATACCATTGTCAGACATCAGTTGGTTGCCTCCCACACAATTGCAATCAGGGCCTGGGACTGAACCACAACCGAGGTACATGCCATTGACTGGAATTGAACCCGTGACACTTTGGTCCGAGAGCTATTGTTCTAACCGCTGAGCAAAACCAACAATGATGAACAAGGAAACTGAACAAACACTACAAAGCAATGCATTATTATATTATTGAAAGTCTGAACATAAGAAACACATGGAGAATATGTTAATAATGCAGATCAATCTCAAAAGTATGTGGTGTATGTTTGCATTACATTGGCACAACATTTTTCTAATATTGAAAATAATCCATTAAGCAAAGAAGTCACTCATATTAAAAAATGAGTGAGCCCTGGCCAGTGTCACTCTGTGGTTAGAGCATCAGCCCTCGGCCCTCAGACCAGAGAGTTGAGGGTTTGATTCCTGGACAAGGGCACATGCCTTGGTTGCAGGTTTGATCCCCATCACGGTTGGGGAGCTTGCAGGAGGCAACCAATATATGTGTCTCTCTCACATGGATGTTTCTCTCTCTCTCTCTCTCTCTCTCTCTCTCTCTTTCTCCCTCCCTCCCTCCCTCTGCTCTTTAAAAATCAATAGAAAACTCTCTCGGGTCCTCGCTTCCAAGATGACCAAGAAAAGAAGGAGCAACGGTCGTGCCAAAAAAGGCCGCGGACATGTGCAGCCTATTCGTTGCACCAACTGCGCCTGATGCGTGCCCAAGGACAAGGCCATTAAGAAGTTTATAATTCGGTGAATTCCAAAAATGGTGGCAGAGTGAATGGAAGCTACACAGACCGTCTCCCAGGACTAAACTGGAATTACAACTAAAACACAGACAAATCGATGTGAAAAAGCAACGGAAAAGCAGCTTGTGAGGATCATATAACCAGGGACACTGACTTGCGGAGGCGCGAGAGGGGGGCCTGGAGCCCACAGACAGCAGTGGCCTTAGCTGTAAGCAGCGCCTTCGGGTCAAACTCCCAAGCAGCTCTACAACACAGAGCCGAGACAGATGCTAAAATAGCCACAGCCACTCACCTTGGGCTCTGGCAGAGTGAGGGCAGACTGGACTGGAACTGTGTGGGTACACTTGGGATTTGGAGGGGGCTCAGAGCTTTTGCTGAGTTCCAGCCATGCAGAACGGTGGCCATCTTGCTCCTTCCCAGGGCTCTGGGGAGAGGCAGCAGCCCCTCCCTCAGAGATTCAACCCCGCCCTGTGGGCCATTGAAATACAAATTGAGGCTCACTAACAACCAACATCTGCCCCACTCTCCAGAAATCCCCTTACTCTGAGCACCTGAGGGAGTTTTTCAATCAACTGACAACCCAAAACTCTTCAAGTAACCGCTGCTGATAGCCTCCAGGCAAAAAGCTAGAGGATAACTGTACCATTCCTGGGGTAGTAACTCTAACCAGGAAAGTAAGACTTGACAGTGGTGTTTAACGTGGGTCCTCCCTTGCTCATCCAAACCCAGAAGAGGGAGCCACAAACAGCAGAACACCAACACCCACAGGGAAAACTTGGCAGGCTCCAAAGCCCACTGTGATAGCTATAATGGTGAAACACAGAAACAAAAGCCAAATGAAAGAACTAGAGACCTCTACTGAAGATGAGATAAATATGGAGCAGTTAGGCAGGTTAACAGAGCTAGAATTCAGAACCATGATCTTGAGGAAGCTCAACAGCATGAGTAAGAACATAGAGGTGCTGAAAATTAACCAATTGGAAATTAAAAACCACCAAGAAGAAAGGAAGAATGACATATCAGAAATAAAGAACACACTGGAAAGTCTAAACAGCAGAGTAGAGGAAGCAGAGTACCGGATCAGTGAATTAGAAGACAGGATAGAAAAAAAAATCAACCAATCAGAAAACCAAAAGGAAAAAACAATTAAAAAACAGGAAGACAGCCCTGGCCGGTTTGGCTCAGCGGTTAGAGCGCCGACCTGCGGTCCGGAGAGACCTGGGTTCGGTTCCCGCTAAGGGCATGTACCTTGGTTGCAGTTTGTCCCCGGCCCTGGTTGGTTGTGCGGGTGGCAGCCACTCGATGTGTCCCTTTCATGTCGATGTTTCTCTCTCTCTCTCCCTTCCTCTCTCCCCCCCTCCCCCCACTCTATCTGTACAAAAAAAAAAGGGAAAAATA